TTGTAGATTTCCTACTACTTTTACTACAAGATACTGTTTCAAACACTTTGCTAGGTTCTATGAACTGGATTATCAGATGAGGCAGAAGTATGGAGTTGAGGGCTTTCAACTCATAAAGACCTCTGAATTATCTATTAAAAAGTGAGCAAAAAAAATATTATTTCTTTAATTAATTGATTATTATATAAAATTTTAGCAGAAACTTACGTCTCAAATATATGTAACTATGTATCCTGGTAAGGATAGAGATACAGTCAAATCTTGATATAGCAAACTCTTGATATAGTGAATTTTTAAATCAAATATATTAAAATTACCTTACTATAATGAACTAGCCAATTAAATTTTTAAAAAATTCATTATAAGCTTATAATGAAGTTGATATCCAAATCTTAAAATTCGTTATATAAAGAGTTCACTGTATTTTTAATAATATATACTGATAGGTGTAGCTAATGATATACATTTTCTATGTCTCAAGCATTTGCTGTTCCAGTTATATATCCTAACTATATGTTTCAACTATGTCCCATATATGTTCCAAATATTCTATCTGTCCCATCAGTGTCCTAACTATGTTTCATGACAACACTGGATGTAGCCTTCTTTGTAATTATATTATATAAAAATGGGAGAAAGCTATATATACCTGATTTGTAATTGAATAGTATAAATAAGTCCTAAATATTTCTGTGATTTACACGATATCTACTTTACTAAAACTAGTAAGATCTAATATTAATTCATCAGGTAAGAGTTTACTGTAACTATATTGAGTATCTTCATTATTTTTCCAATAAATTTCTTCACTCGTTTGATATGTAAGTAATCTAGAAGCATCTTTACTATCAAATGAACTTACTAGATAGTAATATCTATGACTCCTATCTATAGCCTTAAAATTTCAACCCATAAGTTACATATAGTGCTGAATTCAGTAAACCAAGTTTTACCTGATCTGTTTTTAATCCTGATATTTTAGTACTATGTGATGCTTTTGCATTATTGAATACTCAAATTATTTTGAGAATTAAATTATGAAGATATGATATTGATTCAGAAGTACTCAAGTACTTTTTTACATTATCAGTTTTATATCTTATCCTATCATCAATATCTTTAGCAGGTATATAAAATTTTAATAATTCTAGAAAATTTGATGCTTCTCAGTGTGAGTAATAATTGTAAGCTTATCTTCTCTATAATCTTTACGAGTAATAGTTTCAATGGCAGTTTCATTATTTATACCTGCATTTCATATTTGTCTATAAGCTTTAAACTATTTCATATATTTATAATTCCCATACTTTGAGATAAAGTCTTCAGTTAATAATTCAGGTAAAATCTTATAACAATTTACAATGTGATGTTAGTCTAAAGAGCGTATCTCTTTTAAAGTTTTCTTTAGTTTGTTCTCTAAAAATTTAGTAGTCTCATAATCGAGAATAGTAGCATTGGATATATCTGATATTTCCTCTGCTTTAATGATAGAGGAATTCGCTTTCACAGCTTAAGATAATAATATAACATTTTCATCAGACTTAAGAATGGATTCTATGATAGAAATTATCATACCTGCCTCTCTGAGAAAATTGACTATTCTTTAATCAAATAATCGTTGAGAACAGAATTTCTTCAATATGAATGCTACTCATAATTGAATAGTTGAAATATTCTTATTCCAGATAATAGAATCAATATCTGGAAATATTCCTCTATTCTGAAGTTTTTGGGAAAGATATTTATATTTAGCATTTAATAACCACTAAAATAACCTTTTTTTATAATTAATATTAGAAGATCTCTGCTCAATATGACATATATAATCCTTAATATATCGCATGCAGAATAATATCTGATTCGTTCCAGTATTTGTTTCTATGAAGCTATTAAAAAGACAGAATTTTTGCTCAAACTTTGGATTAGTACATGATACTTCTATTTTTAGAGTATTAGTATATGCTACTAGATTTACATCCATCAATGTTTCTTTTACATTACTGAAATCATAAGCCTTTTTTCACTATTGAATCAAATTTACTATAATATTCCTTGATCCTTAACTCTGGAAAATCAGTCTTAAAGGCACGAATAATCCCTTGTACATCTTTTTTGAGATAGCAGATAAGTAATATGCTTTTCTAATTCTCAAAAGATAGTAAAGATATTTGCTTAGTCCAATCCCAAAGTTTGGTAATACTGTTTCTTTATTAGAAGCTAAGTGGAACATCTTACCTTTCTGAGGCTGGTAAGTATTATGAATAATAAAGAAAGTTATATTCTTACGAAGGTCTTAATCTATTCAATGTTAAGATCAGTAAGGTCATTATCCATAATGATAATATGTTTAGCCTCTTAGATTAATTTATATAATTTCTCTATTGATTGCCCCGCTAAACAACTTTGTGCTTGAACAATTATAAATACTATTTCATCAAGCTATAAGTTATATTGGATTGAAAGACATTTGCATTTTTTATCACATTTATAATTATTAGTAATAGTATGTAAGCTCTCTATTTGACGCAAAACTTTTTTGTGATCAGGAAGATTTATATTACTATTGATATCATAATATAATTGAGATTGAGTTTTGTAATAACAGCATTTAGTAAGAGTGATGCATAGACAGTACTAGTAAATTTATATTATAGGAATAACCAAATTTTCAAGAATATATGTTTTTTCCATTTTTCAGGGTGATCCTATATAAATATTGCCTTTATTAGGTAATGGTCTTACATATCTCTCCTCATATGTTTCTATTATTATAAGGGGGTTATTATACTTGATCTAAGATAAGAATTTTACAAAGACTTTAGGAAAATCTGAACCTTTTACCTTGTAAGTAAATTGCAGAGAATTTTTATTTTCTTACTGAATTTTTTTTGCAATAGATGGATCACATTCAAAAACTTCCTTTGGTTTATCATTATTCTGCCAAAAGCATTTTATGATAAATTTCTCACTATTAATACATATAGTAGTGGCTAAAGATAGTTCCCATAATTATTTTTAAAATTTTTAACTAGTTGCAACTTAAGTTGTAACTTACCAAGTTGCAACTTCTTAATTATGGTGCCCATCTTTAGTAGTGGTAGAAAAAAATAGCAGTTGTGATCATATGATTAAAATGATGATTTACATCACATCTGATTGGATAATACAAACCAATTTTTTGTTTGGTTATTTACTACGTTATATTGATCAACATGTATAAAAAACTGAGCACAAAAGTATCTCATGACCAATATGATGTAATAATGCTGCAAAAAATTTCTATTAAAAAATGAAGTAAGGTAGTTAAGTTATTATGGAATAATGGAACACAAAATGTAAATGAACTACACAAAATTACCAAGTTTCCACTAAGGACACTGTATCAGTGGTCATTCCAGTTAAAAAAAACCAAAAATTTAAAGCAATGATGTCATTCAGAATACCCAAAGGTTTAAGTCCAAAAAAGTGACGTTACCTTGGTCAGCTCGCTCATTCACATACTGGTGTAACAAGTTTTAAAATTGCAGATACTCTTAATAATACTTATCCAGGTCTTAAAATAGCCACTCGTACAGTCTGTGAGAACTTTTGGAAGTTTGGTTACCAAGTTTGTGTTTCTAAAAAAATCTCATTCCTCACTTCAATTGCAAAAGAAAGACGAGTTTCTTGGACAGAAGTTTATAAAAATCAAAATTGTGAGAATATGGTTTTTTCTGATAAAATGACCTTTCAAATATTCTGTAATATCACCTTAGTTCGTTATAAAGAGGGTGAAGACAAACCAACTTGTGGAGTTATCAAACATCTATTCAAAATTTATGTTTGGGGGCTTTATGTTTGCAAGAAATCGTTGGGTTTCACATGTTTACTGAAAATATGAATGGGAATTGTACCATAAAATTTTAACAAATAATCTTTTTAATCAAGCATATCAGCTTCTTGAAAGGTCCTGGACATTCCAATAGGATAATAATCCAAACACAAAGCTAAGTTTACAGTGTCTCTTCTTGAAAAATGTTCTTCGGTTCTCAATTGGCCATCATATTTCCCGAATCTGAATCCAATAGAAAACTTGTGAGCGATTATCAAGAAAAGGGTAGAAAAGAAGGTCAATAAATGAATTAGTGAAAAAAACCAGTTATGCAAATGATTTTTATGGAAATTATTAAGGGTGAATGGTTCAACATTGATCAAAACCTCTGCCTTAATTTAGTCAATAGTATAGAAAGGAAGGTAAATTTGATAATTAAAAGGAATGGCAATGTAATTCAATATTAAAAATTTAATATATAATAAATGTAATATTAGTTTATTTACATTTTAAGTTTCAAACAATTTTATTAAATATTAATCAAGTAAATAAATTTTCATTTACTACCAGTTTTTTCCGCCACTACTGTATATGACTGAACTATCTCTGATCCTTATCATGTATATGTTTACATAGTGAATATTTTAGTAGAGCTTTCCAGTTAAAATATACAAAGTTTTCTGAATCTTTTTCTTTAATAGTCCAATTTCTAAGATAATTAGAATACTTTTGCAAGACTAGGTTCACGTATTTTTGCAATATATTCTGACTTATAGATATTTTTAGAGGATTATTATTTTTTTCTATACTAAGCATCTGAGATCTTACTTTAAACCCTAAGCTAGTAGGTGGTTATACCCTAGTGTGTTTAAGTTCATTTCAGCCATTATCTAGAAAAAACTAAAGGATTTACAGTATCTTTTTTTGCTGAACCAATAAGATGAAGATTAAAATTTTGACCTAGCAATCCTTTATCAATGTATTTGCTAAATTTTTCACTGGTTATAGTATATACTAATTTAGTGAATGCTTTGAACTCATGATGATAAATAAAAAGAGCTGATGCATATAGAATATGATAGCTACACTTGCTAAGGTCTGATGATGTAGTGATTACTAATTCTTTGAGAATGTCTTTCCAACTGCAGTCAAGAATTCAATATAAAGCTCTTATAAAAAATAAACAGATTTAAATGAATACTTCTTGTGTTTTAATATCAGTTGTTTCTATATCTCCTTGCGAAACATCTATATCGATCACAGCTCTTAAAGGTTTTGGCCATTAATACATTTATAAATCCCAGGTAAGCTATATACTTTTAAAATGTCATCTGCAATGGAAAACTTTGAGGCACAATCACTATCTTGATTAATTTAATATCCAATTTATTATCCACTTTATCCCGATTATAAGCATTATATAAATTAGACCCTTTTTTATTCAGAAAGAGAAATGAATAGATTGAAAGATAATCTAGTGAGTCTTTATTATCTGACATATCTCTAGGTGGTGATAAGGAGATTTTTCAGATTTCACTTATCAAATTCTTAAAAAAAAATTATCATTAAACTTTTCCTGCCTTAAAGTATATATCACATTAACAAGTAGGTCTCCTCTCTTTTATATAAATGGAGTCTTGATAATGCTGGTTGAGATGCAAGAAGCTTTTTTATTATCTGACACATAATTAGACTCACAATTATTATGATTATCTGATCCTAAGTTGGATCCATTATCAATACAACTGTTAGAAGTATTTAAATATTCATCAGACTTGATACTGTCATAACGGACGAGTGTTGGGTCAGATCTAATACGATTAGTTTGATCAGAAATAATTGGGATATACATGTTATCAGTTTGAAAAGGATTATATGACTTTATATAAATTGGAAATATTTAATTAATTTTTTTTAATAAATACAAAAAAAAAGTTATAATAAACTTAATAAGCAAATCATAGAAGAAAGGCATCTGTTATATTTGAAAAAGTGTAGCCTTTTCCATAATTTTATTATATAAAAATGGGAGAAGGCTGCATACACATATGATCTAAATATATACCTAGAAAAATGTAGCCTTCTCCATAATTATATTATATAAAAATGGGAGAAGGTTACATATCATTCCTAACATCCAGTTGTATCTGAAAGTGTAAGTAAATGCGTAATTATATTATATAAAATGGCAGAAGCCCACCCTATTACTAGTATGTATTCAAATGCAAAAAGAAGCTATAGCAAACTTAGTCGACAAAATAGATATATAGTAAGTTGTGAAAAGTATCAGGAACTGAAGGTATGAAGGAAGTAACTTCAGAATTATTATATAAAAAATAGAAGAAGTTTCTATACAAACTTTGTCAGCAAAACATAAAAGAAAGCCATCTGAATATGTATCTGGGTATAGGTATTTGAATAAGTCTTCTGCAGAAATATTATATAAAATAATGGCAGAAGACTTAACCTTGGTGATATGTATCTGGGTATAGTATAAAATCTTCTTCAGAAATATTATATAAAATAATAAAAGAAGACTTATCCTTGATGATATATATTCAGGTATGATATGGTATCTAAGATATTCTTCTGCAAGGCAGAAGAAAATTGCCAGACTTTGTAATGGAATATTTTCACAAGCAAATATACAATCTATTAGAAATTTTGTATAGAAATATAGCAAAAGAAGAACGTTTAAATAAGTTAAAATTTGCATAAATCTGATTAGTAGATATCGAGATATTATCCTCTAAAGTTCAGATAAAATGATAATCTATATTATATTTTAGCTAATTTGATCGTCTGAATATAACTGTGTGATCATGTGACATCATGCAGATTTTCATTGGATATTATCTGATACTGAATCACTTAACATATTTTTTTACTACAATTTTATATTAAAATAGGTAACCAAACAGACACAAACAGTAAGCCACTCAATATAAAATCGAGAAACCATTCAGACACAAAAGACCAGCATCATTGATATAAAACCAAGTATCTAAATGGTTACAGAAGGCTAACAACTCCAATATAGAATTTGACATTTGTTCAGACGCAGGAAATTGATATTAATTGAATAGCTACAAGGTAACAAAAAGACCACAGAATAATAAAAACAAGTAGATAACTATAAAGCAATAAAAAGTAGGTAGCACTATTGTAAATAGATAGCATTATGACATAAGTAGATATCACTATATATATATAGTGATATCTACTAGCCACAATGGTGGTTATTACTAAGTTTTCTTAATAAAACTGAGACTGCAGAGTTATTTTACTAAGTTTTCTTATACAATTGAAGCTACAAAGTTATTTTACTAAGTTTTAATAGAAAAAATTCACCTATTACTAAAATACTTTGTAAAAGTTATCTTTGAAATTTTTTAATGCAATTATTTTAATTAAAACTTTAGAATAACTTTATTTTAATATATCATTATAAAAATTAAAAAATTTTTTATATTTGATTTGATTTGATTTGATTTGACAAATATTTGATTAAATTTGATTCAATTTGATCAAATTCAAATCAATGCAATTTGATTCAATTGAATATTTGAGTTCAATTCAATTCAATTCAATTTAAAAAAATCAAATCAAATTCAAATTGCTTAAATATTTGATTTAATTTAATTTTGAGAAAACCTTAACAATAGTAATTTTTATATAGATAAAAATTAGGAAAATAAAGAGAAAAATATATTTAAAGAGAAAGGGTTTTTATTTTATTTATAGGTTAAGCTACAGTCATCTTTAAACTAACACTTTTTTAAAGTAAAAATTTTTGGATAAAATTCAACAAGAAAGAAAAGTATTTTTATATATATATAAATATGGTTAAAAGCATTTTTATATAATATAAAATGATTTTATAGATTGATTTTTTACTGATATATTGATCTGATTTTGATGAATTTTAGCTTGTTAGAATTGGAATACTAAGGAGAATCAGAATCAAGCATCAGTTTTTTAGTAGCCAATCTACTAAAAAAATTTTCTAAACTTAAAATTTTATTAAGTAAGAAAATTTGATGTAGATCGTTAAATTGTGTAAACTTGCTCTTAATAATTGCATTTCAAATTTTTATTGAATATGCTTTAAGTTTAAAGTTTAAAATAAATATAAAATTCATGGTTAACAAATTATAAGATTTTAATAATGTGCAATTCTGATTGCGTTTCTTTTGCTTAATATTGTATATTTATACTATTTTAATAGATACCTTATATTATAATATTTATAATACTATAATAATATTATTTTTAATAAATAAAATTAATTATTATATAGTAATATTTTTATATTTGAATTATTTATAATAAAGTAATTATATTATAAATTAATCAAATTATAAATTATTATAATATTGATTATAATATTACATTTATTATTAATAATTATGAATTTTAAATCTTTAAATGTGATATTAAAAATTTTAATACTTTTTTAATTAATTGCATATATCATCTTTAAGCATAAGAATAGTATGCTTGATGTTGTCTTTTCTTTTTAAATGTTTAGTATTTTTATAAATATAACTCCTAAACCATTTTCTTGAAGATGAGTTTGAATAGCTAAAAATGTATTATCACATATTCCACATAATTACATATATATTGGTTTACATAATGTAAAGATATATTGTAAGTATATTTATAATAATATTAAAAGTGATTCTCTTTCACTATTTTTTTCATTTATAATTTCAAAAGACATTAATTGTGATTTTAAAAACAATCTGAATTCAGTTTTTCTAAGAAATTATTGATAAAAAGGTGTTGTCTTTAATGTAAACTCCTATATAAAAGATTAGAAAGATTAATAATAGATTATTAGAAGATGAAATATTAGATAATAAAACAAGAAGGAGGAAGAAGAATATGAAGTAATAGAAAAAAAATATTGGTAGACTTTAAAAATGCTTAAAATTTATAAAAACTTGATTAAATATATTTTAATATACATATATTAATTGATAAAACCTTAAAATTTCGGCTCTCATCTAAGTTTCGCTAGAGCCAGATCAAATGTAAAGAAAAAAACGAACCACATCCATGTTACACAATATAAAAAGATCGACATTAGTTATTTTGGCTGAATAATTTTTTTTGAATTCCACCGATAAATTAATAGTTAAGGTAGATCTGACGTCTAAAAAGAATTTCTAACGATTGAGAATTGAAATGGGAAAGTCAAAGAAACCTCGAGTTAAAGGAAATGTTCAACCAGCAAGTAGCAGGTGCGCACCTTATATCTATCTATTATAGAAAAACAATTCAAAACAGGTTAGTTTAATTTTTGCTTATTTATATATAGTCGAGCTGCAGAAATTATTGCAACGAGTGGTCAGTCACCAATTGGAAACCTAGGAGGTTTCGCACAGTTCTTGGGTGGGAAAGCATTTTCAAGCGCAGCAAATGATCGTATTTTTCCAGACAGTGCTATTAGTAGTGGAACTATAGAACCTGAGCTGGTTCTTATATTTAAAAGGTTATCTAAACGTGATCCTACTACTAAATTAAAGGCATTAGAAGAATTTGAGGAATATCTAAAAAATGAAGGAAGGGATGCGGATGAATTAGTAGGAATTATGGATGTATGGGTAAATATCTAGCGGATTTTATACTTGTATATGAAATGATTTCGATTAAAATGTTATTTGATGGATTTAATATTTGATATTTAATATTTAGACGACACGATTTGTTAAATTGGGAATTGATGTGGATCGTAGAGTTAGACATGCTACATATTCTTGTCATTTTATTATTGTAACAAAAATAAAAAAAAAGATTGCACCTTACCTTAAAGAAATTATTGCTGTTTGGATAATTTCTTTATTTGATCAAAGTAAAGATGTTGCTAAGATAGCCAATGATGCTTTTCAGGTTAACCTTTGAATATTTTTCGTTATTAATTTAGGATCATTAAAAAAAATCTATTAATTTCATTTGAACTGGATATTTAGGAGGCTTTTCCATCCGATAAACGAGTTGGGGTGTTGATGTTTGGGCAGGAAAAAATATTATCTTATATTACGGAAATAATTTTATTCAAAACACCCGACACTTTGAGTAAGTTTTCTTTTTAAACCTTATTATAAGAAATATAGAAGAGATGTTTAATGTCAAATGATAATTATTATTCTAAATGATCGATGTAAAGAACCGAAAGCTTTAATTTTGTTTTAATATCAGGTGATCCTCGATTCACGTCAAAAGAAGACATGAACTCGAAATATCTTAGAGTAGTTACAAGTTCATATTATGCTCTCGCTCATATTATAAATCAATTGGAAGAAAGCGCTTTGGCAAAAAATTATGATAATTTATTCGATAATAGCAAATTTTGGGGGAATTTATCTAATGATAATTCACTCGTTCGGAAATCTTGCTATAATTTAATAAAGGTTTTGGTAAATAAATGGCCATGTAAGAGTATAAATTCAATTTATTATTTTTTTTTTATTTTTATTTTTTTTTAAAAAAAAAATATTAATAATTATTTGGTTTATGTATTTTAATTTATCTTCGATCTATATTTTATAATAGCCAAAGTTGAAGAACGATTAGAAATGTTTAGTGCTACTTACCTGATGAGAGTTTTTAACGATAAGGATACAAGTGTTCACCAAGATTTATGGGATTCTCTCCTTATATTTACTAGAAGTAAGTTCTTTAAAATTTATGATATATATTACTTATTTACAACATGATGCTTGTATTATGTTTACCTTATAGGATTTCCTCAGTCGTGGTTGATAGCTAGTAAGAAAAAACCAATGTTACCAAAATTATATAACTTTCTCCGATCTGGTGCTTTTGGATCAATTAACGTTTCATATCCAAGTATATTACCATTGATCGTTCATCTTCCCCAAGAGGTTAGTTACATCATTTTTTCTTTTAAAGAGAATATCATAAATGGCTCAAAAACTTAAATGAATTATACCAGTTGAAAGTTATAATGTTTATTTTGCTAATTATACTTTTAAAATTTTTTTAGCTAATAAATTTTGATAAAAAATTCTATGAAGTATTTTTCTCGAATTTTTGGAAAGGCCTATCAAGTCCCGTAATTGATAGATTTAATTCCAGTGTATTTCTAGAATCATATAGTGAATGCTTAGTGTACTATATAATTAAATTAGAGTAAGTATCTTTTTTATTATTAATTTTTACGCGTAAAAGTTCTTCCTGGATATTTTTTTTATTGGTATTTTTACCATATCTATTTTGTTTAGAAAAAATGATTACGAGAGGGATAAACATATTTATCTTGTTGAAAAAGTATTTTTTGGATTAATTGAAAATTATTTGCTGGAATTTGAGGTTGACAAAAAAAATATTTAAATGTTTATTTATTTAGGGTGTAACTTGTGATTTAATATTTAATGATTTTGATTTATGGATTTAGTCTAATGCCAAATTTCAGTCCGAGCAGATGTGTTCTATTATATCAACAAATATCTCTTCATTATTTTCTAAGTTAAAAGATACAGGTTTGTTAATGTGGTTCTTCAATATTTTTTATTTATTTTTTTTTTTTAAAACCTTTTTAATGTATTTTTTTTAGAACCTTTAAAAATTATATTTAAAAAGCTTGAAGATCTCTGTGAACGCGTTATAACCCATGGATCTGTTCCTAATCCTGGTCCTAATGCCGAGAATGATTACATAGAATTCTCCCAAAGATTATCGCATTTTCTTAGTTCATTGATGATAACCCCGGAGATTCGACAAAAAGATTGTGAACTTTTCACTATGGTATGTGAATGGAATTAAATTATTTTCGAGTTAATCAAATAGATATTAAATTAATTTCTAATTTTGATTTTTAGTTTGAAACACTCATAGTTCACATTTTCTGTTTGATAATAGATAAATGTAAAGAAAATAATGGTATGATTTTGAATATATTTTTATCTATATTTTAATTTATAATTCAGCTGATTATTGATTTTATTCTTCTACTGTTTTTCATTATTTTAATTGAAGGTTGTTCTTTAGGTTTAGATCTTTTATTATTAAATTTTACAAAGAATATTTCCGACATTATTTTTAAGAACTCAACCACAAAACAGGTATATTTATTTATTTATTTTTGCATGTGATTTATTAGCAATAATGGTTTTTATGTTGACAATATATTTTAAACAATAATTTATAGTCGTTAGACAAATTTATCACAACCACATTTAATGATCTTATTGCAACTTGTCCAATAAGTGCACAAGATTACTTATTTGAATCCTATTCGATATATTTACTTTACGCACAAAATCCACAAGCTAATGAAAGTTGGCATAATTTCATGCAAATTTTATTGGGATTCAATGATTTAGAGAAAAAACTTGAATGCATTCGTCTTTCAATAATTAAAGTGAGTTGGTTACTTTTTAAGAGATGTGCAGATTCTTTAAATTTTTAAAGTCAAATCATCGAGATCTAATAATATTTTGATTAGGTTTCTGAACCTAAGCTCTTGGGCCCATTAATCGACGATCAATTTGATGAATTTTTGATTTTTATTACCAATGAATTATTTAGCGATAAAATTGATGCAAATGTTAGAAAATTGGTTGAAGATGTTTTGGAACTCACGTTTTTATCCGACGGTAGGCGTTAAAATGTTTTAGCGAACTTTTGACTCTAAAGTCTATTCTATCGTTACCAGCTAACTCTTATTAATTATTTTCTCAAGTTTCCTTATTGTCTCAAAAGACCAAGTTAGAAATTCTGGGTCATTTTTCTAGAGAAATAGATACTTTTGCACATTCTTACTATACTGTCACTGGAAATACCGTAATTTCTTACGATAGTGTGACTTCAGTATTACGAATTTTCACCAAATTATGCGGAGATGCCCAATTCATGAAAATATTATTGGAATCAGATTTATTGTTAATTTCTTGGGCAATCTTTGAGCTTACTTTCGTGAAAGCTTATGAAAGTTCTGATTCGGAAATTATTAAAGATATTGGATCATTAGTTCAAGATATCTGGAATCAAATTTCAAATTCTTGTCGATCTAATCATAAAGAAGATGTAGTATTTCATCATATCTCTCAACAGATCAGAGAATCTCTTTTGAATATACAATATGCTGTTAGGTAATAAATAATGATTTTTTTATTTTTTGACTTTTTGTTTATCCATCTTACTTATCGATTAAACAATTGACGTGATTTTCTGCTTTATAGTCCTACAGACTTCGCACAACGAGTTATGAAATTATGCACAAGTCTTTATCAAGCTGAACGTGCAACATCACGTGAAGTCATTGCATCTTTCCTCCTTAGTGAAAAAGAATGGCGTCAGCTTAGCGAGCCTTTGTTAGCCTCTCCTATTGATTCATCCCTTAGTATTGTTGATTCAATGATACCTATTATTTACAATGGCGATATACATGCTAAAAACCATTTTGAAACGCAATCTACGCAACCTGTCGCTTATGATATATATGGATTAAGTGCTTATGCACGGTTAGGAATTTTTGCGATAGAATTAATCAATAAGATTGGTGTTTCGATGTTCTTTGATATTAGTGATTCCAAGGATGTGTCATTCGATGAGAAACTTTCGACTCATTGGGTGCTTTCAGAATTATTATTGTTGCAAGTTATGTGTAATGATATTCATCATTCACGTAAGAGAAGACATCATCTTTGGGATGCAATTGTAACCGAAGAGAGCGATTACCATGGATTTAAAGCATTTCTTTCAGATTACTCTACGATATTAAAAAATTACGTGAAATTTATGATGCAAAGTACATCTATTGACTTGAAATCACTTGCAGAAAAGATTAAGTTCGCAAATAGTTCTGAGCAATGTCCAATAATTGATTTATCAAGTTTTTTTGTTTATACTTTGAGACGTTCAAATGGAAACTATTCACATTACTGGGCGAGAACTTTACAAATTTTATTTTCGACGATTTTAGAAGTGTTAAATGTATTGGTAGTTGACGCAGAAAAATTTCTTGAAATAATTCAATTGGAACCATCTGATTGTGAGTTCAATAAATATTTTGCTTTGATTATATTATTCTATATTACTAAACTTATAAATGTATTAGGTAATCTCGTCATTAAAATGGCTTTGATTTCGTCATTAAGACCATTCCTCGAATCTTCCAAAAAGTTCAAAACTTTTCAGAATGATTTGCTTAGTAAGTTGTGCGAGTTAAGCGCAACTGACATTTGTAACACGGACGATTCATCTTCCAATAAAGGTATCACTTTGTTAATCATGCATTCATTTGTTCATATCTTGGATTTTGAATATTATTTTTTCTCTATTTAAGGGCTGGAATATTTAAGTCTTTTGACAACTACAACAAAGAGGGATGATGAATATTTCCTGACTCCAAGACGTTCCATAGATTTAGTGAATTGTATAATCAAATGGCACGAGGATACAGATTCTAAATTATTATTTGATCCTGAATATACCCATATCCAAATTCATATTTCACGTCTTTTTATTTCCATTACTTCGTCAATACACGATTCTCAAGGAACGCATTGGAACTTTATTTTTCAATGTCTTCAGAATTGGTTTGAAGTAATATTGTTTTTTAATTTAAAATTTTATTATTATTTCTAGTTTACTTTGAATAATTCTAACAAATATTATGGCATTTAGAAAATTCGTAATCTAGAACTTCGGTATGAAGCTATATATTTATTTTGTCGCTTGATTTCTTTTAATATTCAGTATGAAAATAAACCCAACAAGGTAACTTCAAAGATGTTTGTATTTTTTTCCCCTTAAAAAAAAGTTTTAATTAATTCTGGTTAAATTATTGAGTGAAGATCGAGTCTGATGATACATCAAATGAAAGTTTATGCAAATACTTCTCGGAGTTTAAAACGATATTATATGAGAAATTATCTCATTTATTATTCCAAGAAAAGGGTAAATTTTATCATTAAAGTTGGTAATCTGAAATTTGAAGGTTAATTAATTAATAATTATTTATACAGACCATCAGGGCGAAACTTTTTCAGAGCAGTATAATAAATATTTAGACATTTTATGTGAAGCATGTCAAGATTTATCTAAATCGCTTTTAATTAACGAAAGGAACGAGGTATTGCTATTATTTTTATTGTTATGTTATTTACAATGAAATATATCATGATGTTATTTTAATTATTTAATTTATTTTAGCTTTATTCCTTGCTAATGGTTCCTCATGATGGAATTCAAAAATGTTCTTATAAACATCTTCATTCTATAATCGTGCAAAAGACAATGAGATTGTCTGAAGAATTGGAATTAACGGCGGGGAATTCAGGTATATTATATCAATAATTTGAAATTTTATTTGTTTATTATTTTTTTAACACGTTTTTAAAAAAATATAATATATATTTAGATGAAATAAATGTACAATTCGATAAAGGATTGATATCTTTAATTATGCAAACCCAGAAAAGTGATTATTTGAATGATATTTATTCCGCAAATACAGATATTTTTGTAAGTATTATACTTTTTATTTTTTACAAATAAAAAATATATTAAGCTAAATGGCAAAGCAAAGCTAAGTAGTAAAATGCCAAGTGGCAAAATTAGTGTTTTAATTCATTTAATTTTTTTTTAAGATTGCGCATAAGGTATTCGGATATTTGCTTGGTTGGATGCTTGTTCTTGATCACTTTGAATTTGCGGTAAATAATTTTTAATTATTCTTAATTTTAACTTTATTTCGCCATATTATTTGATTAAAGTTTTACTTTATTGAATTATAGTCATTTAAGGTCAAGTCACAACTTGTATCATGTCTTAAAGAATCAAATATAACATCGAACCTTTTTACGTATATATTCGATACGTTAGGATTGTCTCGATCTAATAAGCCATACGATTTATTATATTGGAGTATATCTGAATTTCATATTGAAGGTAACTTTATTTTAAGTTTGTTCCTTATTTGGATTAAATTGTTTACGAGTTCTAATTTTTTATTAGGGTTTGAAGTTCAGCATAGCTTTGATTTGGGAATTCCTTTGCTTTGCGCACATTTGTATTATCGTTCATTAAAGCATATACCATCAATTGTTAGGTATGTCTAGTTGCTATATTTAAGGGTTCTAACCCTACATTGGTTACATATTAATATATGTTTTTATTTTCTCTTATAATAGGATATGGTGGTCAGAATGTAAAAAACGACAACTAAGTATTGCTGTTGATAGGTAATGAAAATTATTAATGCAAAGAATTCTCTGCAAGTTCATTATCGAAATATTTAATGATTATATTCCCTTTTATTTTAACATATTAGTTATACTGAAAAATATTTCAGTCCAGTTATAATCCAAAATCAACTTGAGATGCTTCAAAGTGAAGATGTCAAGTCGCAATTAGAGGATGACAAGTTCTCGATTAGGATCGCTCGTAGTTCTAATGAAGTAATTGCCTCATTTATGGTAGACGAATACGTGATGGAACTTAGTATTAGAATGCCAAATAATTTCCCATTACGTCAAGCTGAATTTAGTACCTTGGAAAGAATGGGTACAAGAGAAGTTGCAGACCTTAAATGGGCAAAATTGCCTGTTCAAACTGTTGTAAATTCACAGGTAGCTAATCATTCATTAAATAATGATAGTTTGTTATATTCCCCTAACGAATTTTTTAAAAAATTTTTTTTCTTTACTAGAATGGTAATTTGGAGGTTGCGTTGAACTTATTTAAAAATAATATAAACCTTCGGTTCCGAGGAATTGAAGATTGTCCAATTTGTTATTCTGTTGTAAGTCTTGATGATAGGTCTCTGCCAACTAAACAATGTAGCACTTGTAAGAATAAGTTTCATGCTGCTTGTCTTTACAAGGTAAGTTATTATTTATCATTAAAATCTTTTAAAATTTTTTGAAAAGTTTTAGTCACCACATTTTCTTTCTTTATATAGTGGTTCCGTAGTTCAAATTCAACAAGTTGTCCTTTATGTAGAAGACTATTTTAAAAATGTAATTAATTATATTGTTTATAGATATATACGTTATTTAAGTAAAGAAAATTCACGTAACATTACTTGTTTTCGTGATATTTAATCTTTAATCATCGTAATTTTATGAAAATTATCATCCGTTTAAGAACCAGAGTTATATTGCAAATTTATGAATAAAAAAGGTTTTTCAACTAACGAATCACGATATCAAGGAGTAAATAACGTTTAGATATAAAGATGCATTTTTCTCAATCATTTAAGCATATCCTAAGAACTTGAGAAATTAAGGTCGGTCGCTAGTTGGAATCAAACCAAGAGGGAACTAACAAGAATCTTAGTAGAAATCAAAGGAACAAAGTGTATAAGATATTAATACGTCTCTCATTACAGCATAAAAGGATAAAGATCTTATTCAACAAGCTATAATATTATCATTTATTGACTTTTTACCAAAAATCTAACCAACTCTTCATTATGCGAAACCAGAGGAGAGATATCTTCTCATTTTGTAAAGATGCTTTGATAATGGATCAAAAGTTTCGAAAAATCGAATTTAATTGAACCGGGTAATCCATTAAAATCAAACTCTGAAATATGATATTTATGTTAACATTTGATAATTATGCAACAATAGATATTGATATAATTAATGATCCAATTTTCGCGACTTTCTTTTATTTTTTTTGTGCGAATCGGTTTTATATAAAATTCGGTTTAAATTCTCAAATTAATAGTGTGTTTAAAACCGGTTTGTGAACCGGTTCCAACCTCTATTTCGAACTCACGTATTTTATTTCACGATGGAAGAACGCATATTTATAACAATGAATTTGTGATCATTCCTTATTCGTAAGGGTGAGGTATCCGCCCGAGAGTATCAAAAAAATATACAGTATATATATACACACAAGGACACTGATAATAAATTATCATCATTATTCGGGATTCATCAATAGTCGGAAAGCCGGAAAAAAAAATCTACTGAAACCTCAAAAAAAAAAAAAGCAAAGACAAAGGCAAAGTTATACATTTAAAAACTCAATAAAAATAATAAAAATACACATCGGGATACCAAATAGAAATTTCTTCTTCGTTATTCGTTCGGTTCTCGTTATACCTAAATGCCGGAATAGTCATGAGGAAGAATCATAACCAAAACATGTTTCGGAATCAGTAGACCTCACGACCCAGACCGATCAGGAGTTTCGTAATGAAGTTTTTCATATGAGTATGGTAAGAAACCTGTGAAAAGACATGGATAGTAATGTATTTAAAAAGCTCAATAAAAATACACACCGGGAAAATGACATTTTTCTTAAGTTTCGTTTTATAGAGCACTTTTAAATTTTGAAAAAAAGTAAATAGTAATAAAATTTATAAGGTAAGGGAAGGGAGCGTGAAATTTTCGAGAATTTACAGTAAGAGTATTTATAATAAAATCAATGACGCGTAATGCAAAATATCTAAAAATAAATCAAAGAAATAACGCGTAATGGCTAAAAAAAAAAAAAAAAAAAAAAAAAAAGAAGCAGCTTCTATGGTACTTTTCTTTTCGTTAGCAACTTATGTAAAATTTATCATCTTTAATTCATTTTTTTTTAGTTTTTTATTACTTGATTTACTAATTAAGCAAATACTTTTTAAATGCGCGGTCTACGATTTGATGATTTTTATTTATCTACGACGTAACAATAATAAATTTTTATAAAACTATTCTTGAATGTATATTTTAGGAATATATGAAAACAAAGTAAACTTTTCATTTCATTTTATTTATTAAGTAATAATCATACAAAAATTATTTTCTTTTTAATTAAATAACAAGATTCGCGATGTCGGTTATTATTCAAATGATCGACAAAAAATTTTTCTAATGTTTATTACCAATAAAGCAATAAAGCATGACTGAATGTCTATTTATGCATGAATGTTACACGAAAATTTACATAGGGAATACATATGAGCGCGCAAGAAGTGTCATATGATAGTTTTCAAAACTTATCAGTTTTCCATAAAATTTCGCTGGCTTATTTTTTGGTTGCTACGCAAGCAAACTGTAGTGACCCATCTCTATGATTCGGTAACTTGCGTAAGTTTTCTTAGGCATAAATTTTCTTATAATTACGATCAAAAAAACATAATTGTTTATATATAACTAACTTTAAATTGTTTTTTTTAGTAAATGCCTACATTTATACAAAAACAAATTAAACAATCTTTTCAGCAAGAATAAGGTATGATGACCACAAATAAATACCGTGCCATTATTTTCAATGAAAGGAAGTTTGCAAGAATCACTATATATTTATCATTAAATAAAAATCTTTTAATTATGGTTTAAAAAAATAAAACATTAATGTTATTTATTAGTAATATAGGCCTGCTTTATGATACTGTCATAATAATTGTTAAATATGTCGTAAAAGGGATGATTATTATCCTTCCAATAAAATTAATCCGATAAAAATATAAAAGGAGCCTTATTATAGTTTTTTTCGTTTCCAATGCAAAAAAAAAAAAAAATATTCAGTTTCGAAAAAATGTTTTCATATAATCATTGAATGAACCTGACCAGAATAACACGAAACCTAGACATCATATTTTTACAAAAAAAAATAGATAAAAAAAGTAGTTAATAATATTTCACGTGACTAATTCTAACCAATCACAGTTATCAAAATAGCGACCAGTCATAATGGCATATACATCTAAGGAACAAACGAAAATCAAGGAATTTCATTTATCTTCTGATCTAATGTATCCAAAAAGGTCTTTATCTATTTTACTGAAAGCTAATTTATTTTTGAACCTTGTTTTTAACTCTCGATTTTCGTGATTGCAGGTATATCTACATCATGGTACTTTGTCTCGTTTTAGGCAAGGAAGTTACGGATAGATTTATATTTGATATCTCTATTGAAATGTGGACTTCTATGAAGATTTCGCATCTCCAGAATGGTATTAAAGAGAAGGCATCTTTGAGCGTTCCTGCATATAAAATCAAGTTATGGAAAGTAGCTATTCCTACCAAAGACATGAATGACGAAAAGATGAAAATACTTATCAACAAGTCTCATGAATTTATTAACGTTAAAGAGGAACTTAGGGGTGAATTATTGGATGCAGAAGATTCTATTAGTAGCAAGATTGAAAATGTTCCTGCTGATAATCATATCCACATCATCGTGGAACTGCCAAAGCCTGCTACTGGTAAGTGTCTCCCAATGGTTTACCTCTCGAATAAGAAATTCGCATTATCTCATATCTCATTTTTTATATATTTGATTAGAGAAAAGAAAACTAGAAGATTCGGACGAAGAAAATGGAAACCTCAAAAAGGGGAAACTATTGAAAAATGGTATTTTCTTTTAATATTAACTTATTGAAGAGTAAAAAAAATCCTAACTTGACTTGCACTTCCTTCAGATAAGGAGTTGGTTCTAAATTTAATCAACAACTTACCAGACACAAATGATAAATTATTCACAGTGCCGGCATTGCCTGGAGATGATACAGATACAGTTATCTATAATCGAAGTTGTTATATTTATTTGCGTGACTTTATACTCAATGATAAAATATTTAATCGATACTGCATCACTGGAAATCCAGGAATTGGCAAGGTATATTTCGGGAGAATAATGTTAGTAGAGCTTCTTAAACAAAAAAAATCAGTTTTGATTGATTATGAAGGATTCACGGCATGGATTGAACCTAACGGTAGTCTACTTAAGATAAATAATGAAGATCGTACAACATATAGACAAGTTGCAGGACAAAAGGATGTGTGATGCATCGTGGATAGTGTAAAGCCCAAATTTAATCATGATTTGATTGGAAAATTTATTATGGTGACTTCACCTAAGAAGAAAATCATTGAGAGATTTACCAAAGCATAAAAGAGCGAAAAGTTCTATATGCCGACTTGGAATATTAATGAGCTTTATGAATGTCAAGAGAATCTATATAAAGAAGTTGATCGTAATTTAATCGAAAAAAGTTTGAATTGTGTGGAGGAATTGCGAGAAGGATATTCGATAACGCGATGACACTAACGAAGATTGAAAACACTATCAGAAGCGTAATTTCAGACTATTATTTAAAAAATATGCTCAGATCTCAGGGTGAACTCATCTCAGGAGATGAATTCTCCCATAAATTGATTCATATAAAATCTGATAATAAAAGCGGAACAGGCATTCCATATACAAAAGCCAAATGTGTTTTTGCATCTAAATTCGTGGAAAATGAATGCTTATGGAGATTTCAAAAAAATCACATTGAAGATTTACGCGCTTTTATTGAGAATTCAAAGAACATAGCAGAGATGTCAGTTCTTCGTGAAAAGATGTTTGAAATGTGGTCACATGCAAAGATCTATAAAGGGGGATATTTCAAATACGTGAACTTCAGCAATCTAATGAAGAAACTGTGACATTTGAAAATTTAGTAAAAGAGGAATTTACTAATATCAAGGATGTTAACATTAGAGAAAAAATTTATTATCAGCCAGTTGCCAAAAATTATCAAAGTATAGATAGTTACATTCATCCTAATCAACTATTGCAAATCACTATCTTTGATAGACATGGAGTCAAGCAAAAAAAATTAAAGGATGAATATAAAAATATCTTGGACCATAGGAATGAAATTCGCTTATATTTTGTAGTGCCGGAGGAAAGTTTTAGAACATATAAAAAACAGAACTATTTAGATGGATTTAAGAAAGCAGAGAATGTTTCTCAATGGATTCAAAACATAAAGCAGTATGTATTATGCATGAAATGTGATAAGTATTAATTTCTTGATTGTCATTGTAAAAAGTATACCGATGACTTAATAAACAAACCATCAAAAATTGCTCAAGCGGAAAATTTATTATTTTGATTATATAATAAAGGGAGGAATTACTCGAGCCCTAACCCATAAAATGAGAATTCCTTCCCGCTATTTCATACTACCTAACATTACTATATATGCGCACATCTACCATAATTAATTTATCTATATAAAATAAATAATATGAAAGGTTTGATTTTAATCGATCCCACCAACATATTCTGACATGTAATTCATCTATTGTAGAGGTAAAACAATACTTCTGATTCACTTTTACCTTTATCAGTATTTTCATTTTCATATCATCCATTCTGTCTAAATATTTAAGAAAGATATTGCTTAATGTGTTATAATAAAGATGTTTCGATATTTTTATCGCTTTTGCCTTTGATATACTGTGTCGAATTCCTGCTCATAGCCTTTGATATTTGATATTAACACCTGCTTTTCTTTTTGCTTCTATCATACTGTAATTTGTAGAAACTTCTATAAAGAAATGCCAAAAGAGATGGAGGTGCTTCTGATGGCAGTTACCACCACAAATCTATGATATGCTTTGCAATAGTGAATTCGTAATGCCAAGTTCGCAAACACCTTACAGGACCTTAAAGCTGGTGATTCCATCAAAATGCCAAAACTTGGGCAGGTACAATACATTTCGCACAAAGTTATCAAGAAGAAAAAATTTTTGTTACAAGACAGATGAGATGTGGAAAAAATTTTCTGAAGATCAACAAAATTCAATAAAATGTGTTTTTTCAGGTCCAATAGGAGTGGGAAAATTGTATCTTGCAATGTTTCTTGCGGCTAAAGCATTTTCTGAAAACTGATTAATACTTTATATTGCAGAAGCGGTTAAACTTGACTTATGTTCAGACGAGCAAACATCAGCGGTAATTGTTAGGTATTTTTTGGCAACAATAAATACATATTAACTGCTGCTGAACTCGAAAATCTATGAGGAAAATTAGAAAAGATTTTGTAGTGCCTTTTTTGAGACCATATGGGAAATGCTCAAGCAAAAACATTGCAAAAAATTTGTAGTAGTTGGTAAACACAGAGTAGTACTATTTAATCATAAAACTATCCCTGCACCTAAGGTTGCTTGTCTAAACTCATTTTGGATTTGGCAAAACGGTAAAACCTTTAGTTTCGCTATATTTTTACTAAGTGTTTGATATAGTTTCGCCATTTTTATAAGCTTTGATATAGTTTTACCTTTTTCCAAATTTCGCAGATTTTTTAATAAGGTTTTAATATAATTTAATCAAGTTTTACTTTTACCATTTAGACAACTGTCTAAACTCTTGATTTCGTCCAGCAACCTTACCTGCACCTCTTCGGCTTCATATCTTGAATCCTTTAATGAAACTAACATATTGGAGTAAGGATAGTCTAGGAACTAGTGTGGTCTTGACTGGTATGGCACACGCGAAATTTGAGAAGAAATACTTAATAAATGGTATAAATGATTAGGTTGAATTTGTTGGGCCGTTACCAGAAGTATTTTTGATGGTCTGTTGAAACTTTACCCCATTTTGGGAAATGAAAGAATTGCACTAAAAACGAAGAAAGTTACTAATTGCGTTCCTTACAAGCTCATTTATCTCGATAAACATAATAAGACATATAAACAGCATTCTTAATAATGAAATTGATGAACTTCTAAAGCGCTTCCGTAAAAATCAATATAGTGAACTTGTAAATGTTGCAAGAAATCATTTTGAAACACATGATGCTGGTAAAAAAAAATAGATTACTGTAAAAACCTTTCAGCTATGTTTTTAAAATCATCATATGTTGAACAGAATGTAAGATTTGACTGGAAATTTCTAGATACTGGATTAGTGTATTGTTTCAAAAATGTATATGATTTCGTATTATTTAAATATGCTTAGCTTGTCACTTGATGCTCTCTTAGATATGTACCAGGATTTTCCATTATCCAGAGATATTCTCTTAGTAACGGATAACTTAATCAAAATAATTTCAAGAAAATACTATTTTAACAAATGTTAAAGCATCATGATATCTTATTCAAGGTGACAGACCTAGATGGAAAACTTATAACAGATGTGTATATATAATTTGAGCATTTTATCATTCTTGATAAGCTCCTAGTCTACAATATTCAAAGTTCTTAGTTCGCAGTTACGAACGTTATCCTCAGTTTGATTTTATAATCGGATACATATTTATCCAAGTATCTATCAGCCTTTTTGACAAACATAATCAAGAATCCTCAAATATTTTGAAGGCCTTTGAATGCTATCACAAAGATGGTAATGATCTAAGAAATCAAATAGAAATATATCTGGATACAATATTTGGTAGTTGGCATACAGCTAAGCTTTTGAATAGCAAATTTAACGTTCTTAAAAATAGTTTACTAATTGAATCAGACTTCTATATTGTCTACATGTAAGAAAATCCTAGTTCACTTAATCATAATCATTGAAAAATATCGATATATAGCATTTATCTCTTATAATGAGATAAAGACCAAATAAACACTTTGGCGATTTCTTATGTAGCTATGTGCTATATTTTATGTATGATCTAAAAATATTAGTAAAAATAATCATATTCACTTGTATTCAGTGTCGAAACAATAATAAAAGTTTACGCCAGTTTTTCATATGTAAAAGTATTTTCTTTATTGGATTGTACAAATATCAATATGCATTAATTCCATATTTATTGTGGGAGACGTTTAGGATTTCATCTATATTACAAAAATTTCCAGAGTATCAAATAAAGTATACCAAATTTTTATTATTGTGAAAAATCTGTTTTTTAGATTTATGATACATAGTGAACATTACGTGAAATATCATAAATATCATATAACTCAAAATTTATTTATACAAATGAAAACAGATGAAGCTTTCAAAGATAATTTCAACTATCTCTATAGCTATTGTTACTACACATACTTATGATATACACACCAGAGATAGATCCATTGACCATCATCTGAAAAGGACTATAAACTTTGAGTCTTTGACACACCTAAAATGTTTGCCAAAAAATAATTTTGGTTTATTCCAAAATATATCATACGTAGTAAGTACGTCTTTTTTGCAGTAACTACATTATTGGTTCATGTGAATTATATTCACAGAATATGCCATGCGTAATAATATGCAGATATAGGCATGTGATTATGTATAACTGCAGTCATTTATTATTACATTTATTAATAAACAGACATCATACTTTTTTTACTCAAAAGTTCTGGTATATTTTTATTACACAATATGAATTATTAATAAAAGGCTTTCTCATAGCAGGCAGGATGTCATTATTCTACCAAAAATCATTTTACAGCAAATTTGAACCTATAGTTTTATTCCCTTAGATAGTTCTATTATTCTATAAAAAGATTTGATGTTTATTATTTTTGGAGTAGCAATTTGAATTTATTAGTTGGGACTAAGTTGTATGTACTATATTACGAATATTTACCAATTACATTGCAATTATAAATCAATGTATTGATTTTTGTCTACTTCTTTCTGATTAATTTTCCAATTATATTTACTAATTTTTAATTCTAATATAAATGATGAATATTAATAAAATTATGATTATTCATTTAAGAACATAATATGATCAAACAATTCTAGATTTCTTAGTAATCAAAATGTTACTTGTATCTAAAAAACAATCTTTTTGAAGAGGTCATCAATAATCCAATTAGTTATGATATTTTTCTGAATAATTCTTATTTATATTAAGTTTTTGTTATTTTATCCTATACTTAATTTTTAATAAAATTAGATATGAAAAATATTAAAATAAAAAAATGAAAATTTTGACTGATTTAAATATTATACCTTTGATTACTTTCTATCTTTAATTATTTTATGAGCAAACCATAAATAGCTATTTCTATTATTTGTTAAACTATCATATTTAAGCTTTATATTACATTTTATTTTATCTTCTTTTATTACTTAACAAACTATAACATTATTATCATTAAAGCCTTCAATAAAGTGCGGCCATATCTAACTAGTTTTTTTCTTGTAAATTTTTGTCATTTTTTTAAAGTTTAGCTAAGTTTTCATGAAAAATATTTAGGAAAGTTATATTTAGAGAAGGAGAAATAAAAAAAAATAATATTACCTTAATATTATAATATTTAAAATGTTTAAAAAAAGTAATAAACTTAAAAATAAAGTATATAGGTGGTGTACTATTAAAATTGAGGTATGAGATATAGTAAATCATATGATCCATATGGGTTAGTACGTACAAAAATCAGGTTTTGATCATATGATTTATATAGTCCCGCAGCATGATTTTCGTACGTATTAACCCATATCTCAATTTTAATAATATACAACTCATATAGTCTTTTTAAATTGAAATGTAAATGTAAAGATTAAGAATAAATTGATTATAATATTAATTTCTTTGCATTTATCTTATTAAATTCTTAACTTTTATAAATTTTAATATAATATTGATCATTAAACAAATATATATGAATCGTCTGATTGGATTAGATATTCTATCTGAATAATTATTAAAATAATATTTTTCTATCTGAATATCTGATTTTACCAAATATCTTTTAGCATAACTGAATATGCTAAACCTGAATATAAATACTAATACAATTGATCTTCTTTATAGTTATCTCCTATATAATCATACCTTTTCTTTAATTATATTATAGTTTAGTTACAATTTTTTAAATAAAAAGTATCTTATAATTACAATAATATATAAAATATATTCATATTAATTTTTGGTCTTATCTTATAATAAAAGTAAAAAAATCATCTCCTATATAATCACATCAAATTATACCTCTTTATATAATTATAGTAAATTATATCAATATTAATTTTATTATACAAATATTATATAAAATTTTTAAAAAATAAAAGGAGTATAATCTTGGTAAATACCGCTTTATTTCTCATAAAATAACTATTTGTTAAATTCTTGAAACTAGATGAATCTAATAAGCTAATATATTGTATATTAATTTCAGATTATCTAATTTCAAAATAATTATAATTGAATTATCAGCTAAAGTTATAATTTAATAAATTTTATTTAAAGAATCCAATTTTAAAATTAATCACAAATATTTCATGATTTGCTAATCAAAATTTGATATATATTAGCTTATTAGATTCAACTAAGTTCAAAAATTTAAATAGTAGTTTTTTATAAGAAACAGAGTGGTATTAACTGAGATTATACTCTTTATTTAGATTTTTTTATTAATAATTATGTGATATAGGAGTGTTACCAATAAAACTATATTATAGATTATATAATTTATTATACCTTATGATTTGATTTTATTGCAAATGTTTTTATATAGTAATGTTAATTTTGACTATTTACTAATATTGATTAATTTTGGTTTTATATTTAATTTATACTAATAGATAATTAAATTTATACTTATTTTCTTCAAAATTTTTAACAAATTTTTAAAATCTTATATAATTTATTATACTAACAATATTTTTTAGATTAGAATTCAGATCCAAGTATCTATATTATCTATGGATATATATACATAATATAAATTTAATATCCATTATACATATAAAAATTAAATCTAGATATGGATAATTTAAAAAAAATTAACAGATAATCCATATCCATGTTATCCATAGATATACAGATAATACAAATAATCCATATCTAAGTTATTCATGGATATATGAATAATATGGATATTAATAAAATCGTTCACAAAGAAACAATATATCATCATTCCTTTAGAATGATTTCTTTTATCATTCTTTTGGAACGATACATAACTATTCTTTGAAACAATTATTTTTTATCATTCTTT